CTGCTTCTGCCCATTTCATTTTCTTTAATTTGGAAGATAAGTATGAAAGCGTGCCAAAGAAGTTAATTCTCCGTTAACAGTTTATTTTCTGGCACCCCGATGCCTTTGTATATGAAAAACAGATAGAAGTAAATGTTGACTGAATCACAACAACATAGTCGCAACTGTCCCTAAATTTAATGAAAAGTAAACATATGAAGCATAATCTAAAAAGTTTATTAGTTGTCAGAGTTGTTTCATGTTATCACCCCTCCTTGCATTTTAAAATAATGGTTTTGTACAAGGTGAGCAGAATATAAAAAAAATTAGAAATCAATCACTGCTTACATCTTATTTATGCTTCTCCCCAACCCCCCCAATTCAAGTGTTATTGGTCCTTTCATCAGTTACTCTGAGAACATAAAGCACATCTCAGTCATGTAATATTAGTAAAAGCATTTCTTTAAAACTCCTTTCCAGCATAGATGATGGACTCTGACATGCTGAAATTGTTGGGAAAAGCATCGCAGTAAGTATGCTGCTAACTGATAGATACTGCTAGGAAGAAAACAATAAATATTAAGTAGTGTGCAACTCCCTAGAAGGCTACGTATAACCACCAAGAAGTTAATTTACAATTTTATCATTTAATAGTATAGTTTAAATAGGGAAATCACTGTATGAGGCATGCTGCATATCTAACAAGGAACACTGATGACGACATACAGCTCAACACCAAAGCTTCAGAGACTGTGCTAATGTCACATTAAGCTGGAAGGATATGTGCTTGATTTATTTTGCATGTAATAGAAGCTAGCCTTAATGGAGTCACTGAAACTAGCAAGAAGGACCAATGCACAGTAGGATGGCTATAGCACTGCTAAGACCTAATTGCCACTTTCTTAGATCTGCTGCTTTCTAGAGATCATATCATCATCAAAAAGAGGGGAGAAAAGGAATATCCCATAAAGGGGAAAAACAATAATCAAGAAACTCAACACCCACTGACTCACTGTAATATAGACTTCAGTCCTTCAAGAGAATGACACGGGGATTTAGGGCACCTTGGTGGGTCACCTGAACCTGAAAGCATGGGTTCATTTAGTAATTCTTCCTCACCTACAAGTTGACCTTCACTAGTGCTTCTAATGTTTCATATAAGCAAACAAGAATAATAAAAAATTTAACTAAACTAAATCTGCTTCAATTCTACTCCATTATATTTTCCAGCAAATTTTAGATGACATTTCAGTCTAAAGTATCTCAAGCCATCTACCTACCTCTGACCTGAGAAAACGCATGGTGGCACAGAAAACATTCAATTTTGAAACTCAGTGATTCCCTCACTTCTTAAGATTTATTTAACTTCTTTGGCATATGTAAACAGGAATTACATCTGACTGCAACTGAAACAAATAATAACTTCAGATCTGGTTTGAAAGAGAAAGAGGAAAGTTTTTCAATGATGATTCTGTTACGCAAGAATAGTTAAAAATTTTATTAAATTAGATGGCATGCTAAGATCTGGACAAGTTGTTAACATCTTGCATCTTCTACATGATCTTTTCCATGAGCATACTGACATGATTTTTAATGACTATTCTTTCATCAACTAAGAACAATAGATTTATATGTTTTCTACTCTCTGAAGAATGGATTCAGGTAAGATTCATTAGCAAGACCTAACCTTGACAAAGTAATGGCAATTTAACATTGACTTAAGAACTAGTTTCATAAGATTCTCCTACTGCAATAATTCTAATACAAATAAAAATAAAGCTGAAACTAGGGCAAAAAAACCCCAAGAAAACTTTAAACAATCATGGTCAGTCTCATAGCATGGTGACATCTGCAAAGTTACATGACTGACAAGCAAAACTACACAGTAAAAATTCTGTATTTTTCCAGTCTTTTGAAGATATACATATTAGAATTACTAACTAGATTCAATAGCAGAAAATGCATGTTAATAGCAAGGATTTCTAAGCAACATATTGCTCCAGGAAGAAAGGTGACAGGAAAAGGCAATTTTAAACTCTGTGGCAATGGTTTAGAATAGCTAATTGTAACCTTTTTTTCTTCATTTTTAACAAGTACATTTTGTTAACTTAGAAGCTGTTTAGTTGGTAATCAATCAACAACGTCTGAAAACTAGGATGCAGCAAAGAAGTGGGACTCGTGGAGAAGAGTGTTGCTCTGCAGAGCACTTTCTTTTTCTCATTAAGAGACAGACTGCATGTTTTTTTTTCTCATTTAATCCATTCATATACATTTATCATCTCATTTTTGTACATTAAAATCCCAAGTTCTGGTATTCATTTTATTATCCTATTTATTTACAATATCCAAACACGGAATCATTGGATTAGTGAAGAACTTCTCTCCTTAGTAATATACTAATTCATACAAAATAAAGAATTATTTCTGTATCTCCTCATCTACCTCAGGTTTCTGCCAGAACAGCACAGACAGGTCATGCAAGGCAACAGAAAGACCATCCTCAACAGTAACAGCAGTACAGCCTCCTTCAAATCCAGCGTTGTGAGAAGACTTGGAGCGGACCAGCTGGTCCTCTCCTGAAAAGAAGAGAATCAGGAAGACAAGGCCAAGGCCAGAATACCCAAGAGATACACTAAATCAGTGCAATTTCTGCAGCAACCTCCCACAGCCAGGACTCTAGAGCTTAAAATCTGTTTTCCTTGGCAAGTGCCACAGTGAATGGGTCTATAACCCCCCCAAGATTGCTATTACCCCAACCCTTCAAGTGACTATTTTCACTGACATGGTTGCCATTTGAGACGAAGGGAATTAACGCAAGAAGGCAAATCATGAGCGAATAAAATTCACATTCAACAACTATGGATGTACCAATCCATGAAAAACATACTAAGTTTAAAAAGGCAAAACTGATGCAACTAGAGGCACGGAACCTTTATATCTTCACTAACACAGATAATCTGTTCTGCCAGGAAGTGATCTGAGAGGAAGAAAAGGAGTACAGGCTAAGGACAAGTTTCATTTGAGTAGGGGATGTTTTCCTCTGCAACTCAGGGAAAACAGGCAACTCTGCGAGAACACCTCTAACACTGCCCTACCAATTTAAGTACAAGAGGAAAACGGGTAACAGTCCAGGAGCAATGAATCGCTCATCTCTTTTGCTCCCTCCTTCACCCCTGACAGCAACATCACCTAATGTATTCCTGGAAAGCAGACAGACAGTCCAAATATACAGAGGACACAAAAATCTACGAAGTATTATAGAATTTGGGGAACGTCAAGAAGAAAGATTGGAACCTATTTCCCATGCCTCAGCATATATCTTTTTCCAACAAATACATGTCAGCATAGAAAACATTTCAATACTTATAAGCAGAAGCTATAATGTGAACACAAAGTAGTAACAAAAAACCCCCAAACCCCCAAGAGATCAGCCCCTTGCAGAAGAGTGTCTGCACTAGGTCAGACAAAGAAGCCGCGGCAGTTCAGCATCTGTCTTAAAAAGCAGGCGTGTGTGAAATTGTAGGAGAACGGGGCCAGCACAGAGCATTACTTGCCCAAAATACAATTCCCAGCATCCAGTGATTTGGATCTCAGAAACCTTCCGAGTCAGAGACGATACGCTGAAAAGCTATCTGAATCTTCTGTAAGCTAGGTATTCAGCTTTAATTACCTTGCTGTGTAAAAGTAGGCTACAGTCCTCGTTTTTACATTTTGAGTATTTGCACAAAAAAAAAAAATAAAATTATAAATTCACTACTCAGATTTCCTCCAAGATATCCAGAGCTTTATTGCATATAATCAGCCTTTTGCTAAAAGGAGCACGGTAAGCCATTTGGTTAACTATCACAACAAATCATTATTAATAAAGTTCTGCTAAATCCAAACTTTAGATATCTTAACAACTCACCCAAAACTTTTTTCAAGTTCATTAACCTCTAGCATATTTTTTTCTCTAAATACAGGCTGTTAGAGTGGTACTTTCTTCCATCTGTTAAACAACCGTGCTCTGAATTGCACAGAAATTTAGCTGAATAAAAAAAAAAAAATGATTCAATGAATTCAATAGTTTAGACAAGGCTCTATTTTATTTCCATTTACTCAATGGTAAAATTCTCACAAAGCCCAAAATGTACAAGAGTTGGATAAACACACAGACTTCTGTTAAGTGATAAAAATTTGGGCTTTTTTTCCCCCCCCATGAAAAATTTAAACTAACTTAACTTTTTTCTTTAAGGATTGAGCAAAAAAAGCTGCCAGATTTGTTTCTGGATGTTCACTCTTGGGGAGAGCAGGGTGGCAGAACAATGCAATAACCATACACACAACCAAAAGTCTGCAAACAGTCAGACATTAGCATTTTCTGAGGCAAAAGGAAACAATCCTGCAATTACCAAAACTCAAGCTGCAATGAATAGTTGGCATGTCAACCTTCTGGAGTTTTCTAGAAATGAGTAGTACATTAAATGACATTGGGAACTATACCCAAAGATGGAATAAACTCAGGGAGCTCATCACACATTGCGTTGTACTATATCTTCATTGACTTAAACACCCTCCTCACTTACTTGAGTTTACCTCCTATAGACACAATTATGTTCATTTATATATTCCTGGTCATTCTGCTGCAGAAATTTCAGGTTATTAATCTGAGAACTCCTATGCTTAAAGGTGCTGCTGTACACTAGTCTTAAACATTTCAAGTATCTTTGTCCTACCAAGCACAGCAACAACAATAAGAACGCTTCTGCAGTCTCCCCTACTCTTCTTCCTGCCTAGAAGCATGCCACTTCATCACCAGGGCTGAACATTGCCTTTTCTACTACACTAGTAATTCACTTCTACATGGTTCATAACTCACTTTGTAGTTCATAACTCACTTATTCCAATCTCCGCTTCTAACCTGACTGAGGGCTGCCCATGCAGTAAATGACTGCAAGGATCTACAACAACTGTGGGGAAGCCTGTGGCAAAAATTAGCAGAATGAAATTGGTACTACAGCATGTAATAGGATAAGGGGTACCTGGTGAGGTGCAGTTGGTGTTCAGATTTACTCAGCAGTTCTGCCAGTTTTAGACACTCCTCTCTGGCTCCTGTCACATCCTGCTGGGCTTGTTCCAAACGCTGTTTGCTTCCATTCAGCTCTAATCCCAGTTTTTCTATTTTCTTAGAAAATTATAGAACCAAAGAAAATATATTTAAGAAATACATATAGATACATTTGAAGAAAAAAAAAAGGTAATCAAAGCACCTGAAAGACAATGCAAACTTCTGTTTTAGAACAAAAGGAGTTAGTTGATAAAAACTGCAAAATAAGCAAAGTATTTGAAATTACATTCTTATTAAAAGTCAAAATGCATAACATGTTTCAATACACTAATATGCAAGCGACGTTATTGTCTTCATGTGGTTTAAGAGTTACAGGAATTGAAACATTTCCTGATTTTCTCATATGAAAGCTTCCATATTTGTGTCCTGAATTCGCTGTATTAGAAAGCCAGAAAGGTAGTGGAATAGTGACGATTTTCAGAAGCTGATTGACCTGGGATAACTCTTGTGGTCATTTACTTTTCTTTTTTTAATGCCTATCACATAAGCAATGACAAGTAGGCATATAGCTTTGTCATCTAATATTATACATGATAATAAAGGTAATTTTGTGATTTTACCATTATCGAAAAGAAGTAATTTATGACTTATATCTGAACCCTAATCACACCAGCTGCTGTTAATCCCATTGTTTTAGTAACATCATTAGTCCTTATATGTCAACATAGTAACTAAAGTTGATGAATTTATAATTTATTTTACAATAGTCTAGTTTGCATGACCATCGTCTTTGATTCCAGCAAAACATGATAGACTTCTGATATCTCAGAATATATAGATGAATATAGATATTCTTAGAAATAATATATTTTGCTCTTAGTCCATATATAATATACAAGTACCCGTAGGAGTACATCTAAAACGCAGTACTATACTTTGTCCTAAGAATGTTTTTAAGAAGGCCAGTAGGATATAGAATAAGCTGACAATGTAATTTTATCATGTAGTAACTGTTCTGCACTAACTCCTGACATAAATATTTATTTGTCATTGGGGCTGGAGGGAACTTGCATGTTTTTCAGTCAACTAAACTGTGAAAGGTCATTTGTAGTACAGGATAAAATTGTTCATATAAGAAGTTAGTGCTGAATAGCTATTATACCTTAAATTCATACCATAGCTTATCTGTGATAATTTCCTCATGTAGACAAGACTCTATCTTCTTTAATTAATGAAATTATTCATTCAAATACCCTACAAGAACAAATTATTGTAACTCTGTCCCAGTATTTACATTTGAAGCACCTTCGTAACAATATTGTCTCTTTTCCTCTCACAAAAATGTTAACCTAAACTACTTACATTAAATCACGATGTCAGACAAATACAACCTCTTCATCCAGAAAAACATTTCCTAATGTTGTTTTTTTAAAATTTTTAATTTTGCTAATTACTTAACTGTACACTTCCCCCCCCAAGAGCACTCAACAAAGGCTCATGAAGGAAATTTTGATTAAAACCTTGCTTTATCACATGGACTTCCTATCAAATTAAATCAACAATTCCAAGTTCAAATGCAAAGACAATAAAACTATATACAAAATCGTTAGAACTCTTTCCTTCTAAAGAATGTAACAACCTATTGCATTGTCAATATATTTTTAAACCAGGTGTTCAGAGATATTAGGTTACATATGCTTTGCATTTGTACTTATTTTCATGGACTTTTGCATATGTTAAATAGAACAGAAGTCTCAGTGGGTTCTCTATTCTTAACCCTAGCAGTTCATAAATGTTATTTCTCCATCCACAGTAAGCAGAGACACAAGCTCTTCACTGTTAAAGACAGTGAAGTTCTGCAACATTCTTAAAATTTGCTTCAAAAATACATCCATTCAGTATACCTTTAAACAAACTCAAACCACAAATTAGTCAAAAAACATCAACTAAGTATTTGAAAAAGCACAACCACAGCTGAGAATATAAATACACTGTAGATGACTCCTTCAGGGAAAAGTTTCAAGGAACAGATGGGCTTTACACCATTGCCTCAAGTTAAACAGGCTCAGTCAGGTTTTGACACAGACCTACAGAAGGAAACAAATTCCAAGTGCAAGAACCTCTGGTGAAAATGTTTCATTTCCATTGGCCAGATGTTGAACCTTCAGGGCTGAACCCAAGAACACATCTATAGATTTCAGTTGTCATGAAAGCGTAGAGAGAAATTCTCAGACACAGAAGTGTCACTTCATGACAGGATCTTTAGAGATTCACAGGTGTATTATAATTTCTATTAAAAATATCAAGAAAGCAAACATGGGGTTTGAAGAACAATTTTACTTGTGCTACTTTCATCAGTAATTCAAAAATTTGGTATCAGCTCCTTTTACACTCATACACACATGTACACATGTGTTTGTTCATGTGTGTAGGTATATACAGATATTTATATATATATAAACATCTTAAATTACCAATATTTGGAGGTACTCGCAGCATGGACCTATATGAAGAGCAGGAATTCTACACAAGAATTCTGGTAATGCCCATGGCAGAAACGGCAGACAACCTCATGAGAAAGGGATGACAGAAAAATGCTACCTGAGAAAACACATTAGCAGCAACTCAGAAATCAGAAATATCTAATCCAGTTATAGTTATCAACTAAATTATTCTTTTGAAACACCAGAAAATGCTAGTTGAAAATAATTTGGTAGGAGTCATGCATCATCATGCTGAAAACAGACCACACTCTAAATGCTACATGTTAGTTTGGTTTAAAAACTCAGATAAGAGTTTGAGACATAAAACCTCAAAACTTGAGACATGCCCATACAATAAAAATACACCCTCTTCTCTCTCCTGCAAACAATAACAGTCTCACAAACACCGCCTATACTGAAATATGTCAAGTCTAGTCCACCATTAGGTCATCACAATATAATCAGGATTTAATCTACAGGTAAATTAAAGAATCGATGAATCTTTCTCACTGCTCCTGCAGGAAACCTTATCAGGAGCATTTTTCCAAAACTATTTGGACTCAAACTAGTTTTTGCACTACTTTAGTTACCATTTCTACTGGGAAGCTGCAAGCAGTTCTGTAGCTGCTATCCGGGTCCAAGTGTAATTGTAGGGACAGAAACAGAAGCAAACCACCAACTAAAGCATTTTGCTGACAGCTCTGTTTCTTATGCAGTGTTAATTTGATCCCTCAGTGCCTATCACCTGTGATACAGCTTTTTACAACATGATCAGAAAGTTATTTCTTCAAGGTACTTAACTTTTCAATGTATATGAGAGACAAGAGATGGAGCACAGAACTGCAAAAAGACAGATGACAATCTTGCATTTAAGAAAATCTGAAACAGATTTTCAGTATAACAAGGAACAGAATTATCATAATGTATATGTACAACAAGACTACATTAAGGTTAGAACAGGCAACTTCTGGTGCTTAACTCCGCAACTTTAATGTTCTTATTACTTCTGCACATAATTTCAAAAGTACTGTTTAATCTGTCTTGCTCTGCAGTTGCCCAAACTCCCAGGAATATCAACAGGCACTTTGCCATTGAAAGATGGCAGGTTAAATTTCAGTAAGAGAAACACCATTATTAGTAAGCTGAAACACATTAACACCATTTCACATACATATTCAGTTACACGAAAGAAGTTTTAATTAAACAAAAATTAAAACATTGGTGAAATATCACAGCAGTAAAATTTAATTCTATATCAATTATTCTTTTTTCAGTATTACCATCAACCACCTTTTATATTTTAAGTTTTTCACTTAGAAGTATATAGGACCCTCCTATATCTTTTCTTGAAGCGCTTAAGTGTTTCACTTCTCATTCCTTAGTTTATGATGTATTTACAAATTATCTTCAGACTTTCACAACTCATTTTTAGGGGAACACACTGGAGATGCTTATTCAGTGACATAAATTCAACTTACTGGAAAACATAAAAGATGATTTCTCAAACACTGAATCAGTCCTCAAATATCCTCTTCATAACGTATCTGAAATTATCTACATCTAACAATACTTATGTCTATTGTAAAAATGTACTTTTTAATTAACTAGACATCTCTTTATCTCTACAAAATCTGATTAAAGGAAATAACAGTTTCATTCAAAACAAGTCAAATTAAAGATTAAAGTAATTGATTAATTCTTTTCATACTGATGCTGATTCTATTGCATGCAAAAATGCAACTTTAAATTTCAAACTAGCAGATGTTTTTCACAGAATTTTAAATAGCAGCCAACTGACAGAAAAGACAAATACTTTTTCTTTTTAAACAAATGAGAATGATTAAGTGGCAATAAAAGAACTCGTATTCTGAAGTAAATGTAAAAACTTTAGAAGAGTTCTAGAACATAAAAAATAAACTAAAATCAAATTAATTCACAAGTGATTTATTACATTTACTGTTGTACCAGTATGCTCACACATCAGGTAAGAAAATACACAGTATAACGTAAAAAAAAATTTTGCACTGACTATATCATTGCACAAATTCTGCAGTAAAATAATTCTGGAGAGGAAAATATTTATGTGAATTTACAGCACAAGCTTTTTGTTTCATACTTCATTCTCCACCATTAGTATTAATTTTAATTTATTAATTTATTTTATTAACTTCTGTTATTGTTATTATTGTTATTATTAAAGATTAAAGGGGCATAATGTAGAGCCAAAAATAAAAGAACAAATATAAAGTAATAAAAAGTGAAATATAATTACTATGGTGGTTGGTATTTGCAGGTACATCCCCCAGAGGCGATCAACACCTATAAAAACACATACACTTCTACAGGCCCTGATGCTCACGAGCTTAGTTTCATTTACTAAAGCAGCCCTTCAAAGCAATGAGACCAGTGATAGTGCACAGGACCAAGGCTATAATCATGGTCTTTGAAAGAGGTGACCCCAGTATGGCCATTCACAGGCATTTAAATATTATATGTACCAGTGACAGGAAGTTTTTGAACTACTTAACAATGATCTCAAGCCATGTTGCTTTCTATCCTTATTAATGTATTAATTAATCAGGGACAGAACTAATTGGGGGGTTTATTTATTTATTTATTTTTAAATTTAAAAAG